CTTTCCCTGCTTTTACTTTGGGGTGGGAGGTGGGGTTGGAGTGGTTGATTGTTGCTCCAGTGGGACTGATTTCAAGATCAGGAGTTCCAAACCCACCAGGCAGATTGCATGAGCATCTTAGCTCATTCCTTATGCCAAGTGCTTGTGAAATCAGGCCCTGTGCATGCAGTCCTCAGCCTTTTTGGATTGGGTTGCTACACCAGCCTATGAGCTGAGGGACTGGGTGGCTGGTCTGCTCACAGCCTGCAAACCTCCATGCTTAGGAAGACTTACTTCCTTGGTCTGATTTATAGTCCCATAATGAACATCCCCACTGTGTGGGGGAAACTTTCTTGAAATAAGTGGTAGGAAATTACTTCTTGGAGGCAGGCTTCTAATACTTCAATTTCTGTTTGTTCAGATTTACCAAATCTCCAGTGTTACTATTTTCATTGGATGGCTTCAGAGCAGAATACCTGCGGACTTGGGGTGGGCTTCTACCTGTTATTAGCAAATTACGTGAGTAGCTTATTTGTCTAAGCAATATCATGATGTCTTATCTGAAAAATCCACAGCATCTCTGCTTGCTCTTTAAAATCCTCACTCTTCCTCCATGGAAATGGATATTGGTGCTCTAAGTAACAGCCATGCACAGAGAACTTGAGGTGTGGAAGGGTGGAAAGCCAAAAGGTAGGAGAGGGCATGAGGAAAGTGCCCTTTGGATTTTCATTGAAACCTTAATTACTAAGCAGCCCTTCTGTACTTACGAGATGGATGCTTTTTGCTGTGAGCTTACTTCATTTCTTCAAAATAGGAGTAGACCCACTTTTTACTCTGTATATTGTCTCATATTCAAGTGGAATAGCTTTGGAAAATGGAAAGCAAGGTAGAAAGCATTTGATTATCTTTGTAAAAGAGAAGGAAGAGATTAGGAATTGTTGATATAGAAGGGCTGGTAGAAATTTACTGAATCTGAGAAAACCTTTATCTAACAACCATTTGCAGAAGAAATGAGACCCTCGTAAGTATATATTTTTTTTTTGCCTTGCTTTTATAGTGTCTTACTTAACTTTCCTAGAGTTTAAGTAACTTTATATTTTGTGACTCTCTTTTGGCCGTGGTCTGTAAAGAACTGATGGTATTTCTTGTCTGAAAAATATGCCAATCTTCTTGACATTCATAAATTACTACCTGGGGTGACTGGCTTCAGTTTGCCTTAAAAATAAATTGGTAAAAATACTTGGGTTTTGTACAGTGGTTGTTACAACTTGACCTGTTCCAGAGGGTAACGACTCACAGATGTATTTGAGGTTTTAGCTTTTTTCATTTTGTTCCATGTTAGAATAAAACAAGGCATTTGAAACAATTTAATTAAATACAGTTATAGAAGAGTTCTGCTGAAGAAGACTTCCTGAACATCGCAAGAAGAAGCTGGCCTTTGCAAATGGTTATAGCTCTGGCTGCAATATGAGATTACAGTGCCACAAAGCATCTGTAGGACTTCCAGGCTGTAATATCCATTTCCACATATGAAGTTTCTTCATTCTTTGGTCTGCATGTGCTGCAGTGTAACTTTTCTCTTTGACTTCTATAATAAACTTGTATTTCTCTTTCCACTGAAACTGTGATAAACTCTGACCACTAAGAAATGCAAATATTTTAGCACCCTCTTCAATGTTGCTTCACTTCTCCAGAACCATGGAATTTTTGATGGTCAAAACTTACATTTTTAAAGGATTCTAAAATCAGAATGTCTAATAAGTTTTGGACACAATAAGAGCTAGTCTGGGGGAAAATATTTCTGCATTATGTCTACAGTTCTACATTACTCTGGAGCATTTTATGTAATTTGGTAGAAGACATTTACAATAGGATCTACTACATGATCTTCAGGCTTTTTTTTCCCCTCATAGTAAAATGCTGGGTGAAAAGCCCCTATAAGGCAAGCTTTCTTCAGCAAGAGAAAAAGTCTCATGAATGAAAACTGGTGTCAGTGGTATGTATATCACATGATACTTGGGCATGTGGCTTCAAATCTTGAGATGCTTCATGCCCTATATGTCTAAGCACTGAAAATGGTGGCAGAAGTCATATTGTAAAGATAAACATTGCTACAGTATTTTACTGTGCAGGAAAGGGTAATGAATCTCTATGGTACACAAGCAACCATAATGGATAAATTGCTTGACTAATGCCGAAAATTTTTGTTGGATCCTTTTGATGTTCATAGTTATCCATTTTACAGGACATGTAGATGTTCAAAAAATGCTTTTCATAAGGACTGTAGGTTTTGGTCATGTGACCATTGAAGTCAGTCATTCAAAATATGTAAAATTTGTACCAATAGCCATTTAATCAGCTTGTAAATGAACACAGGAAGAAAAAGACAGTATTAACTCCAAAGTTTTGAAGAATGAAAACTTTCTGGAAATATATTTTTTTTCTTTTTTTTTTTTCTTTTTTTTTTTTTTTAAATGGGTTTATATCTTTGTGAGAGAAACTTGCAAGGGTTCTTAAGGGGTTTTATTTCTGTAATTTTGCTGATTTTTCTTTCTTCTTCTCTCTAGAGAAATGTGGAACATATACTTCCAGTATGAGACCAGTGTATCCTTCAAAAACCTTTCCCAATCACTACTCCATTGTCACAGTAAGAATTCCTGTATATTTTATTTCCGCTGTTGTAGAGACTGTTTGTTATCAAGTTGTCTTCAAGCGAATAGTGTATTTTTTTATTATTAAAATAACAGGTTTTCCCTTCAGAATATGAAACTGATTATAACTGATAAAGATAGTCATTATATAACACTATAACACTACAACTCAGGGGTCAGATCTAATCTGATTAAGTAATCCAATCCTTCTAAGACTAGCTGCAAGAATTCCTACATAGGTGGAAGGCCACATCACTTTGCAACTCCTCATTTGTATTAGTATTTCCACTAAGTTGCATCTTGCTCTCTCACTGAGATAGCAGCCCAACTCCTTTGCACAGCCACTTGTGTTCCACTTCTTTATCGTAGCTTGGCATGACCCAAAGAAGGCTCTGAAGTGAAAGGCAAGATCTGAGCATCACATTGATACTGACTCTGTGATGGACTGTATCCGAACCTGGATACGAATGTCACAAAACCGATCTTGTAAATTTTATCACCTCCTACATGTAGGAGGAAAAAAACAATGAGGTTTTCAACACTGAATGCAGGGGTCAAATCCAGCAGGTTCTTCTTAGTTTCGTATGTCAGACTAAATTCAGTCAAATACTTGAGGGTGTACACCTTTCTTACATCCTCAGTTTGTCAGGACTTCTGATAAGTGAGTAGCATGGGTTCAGGAATGAGATGTTTAAATGTGTAATAATCACAAATATTCATGGTTGAATATGCAACTACAAGGCATTAATCATACCCTGCGGCCATGTGAAAGTGTCCCTAAATAAGTAGTAGTTTCTTTGTCATTGGTACTAAAGATAAAACAAATGTGTGAACTGAGATAATGTCTTTCAGTTTGATCCCAGAGCAAGTTTCTTGCCTATTTTTTTTTTGTTTGTTTTTAAATCTCGTTGAGAAGCAATTAAGAATTGGGCTTGGTAGCAATGGTGGGTGATGCTGCTAAATTTGTTAATTTGAGGTACTGATAGAGTGGAGGTCACATAGATTATTCACTGAACATATTTGTCTAATGGACATATGCTTGTGTAGCTGGAAGGTTCTTTTTCTTTATAACATTGCAACAAGGTATACTCTTAATTACAGGGTCTGTATCCTGAATCTCATGGTATAATTGATAACAAGATGTATGACCCCAAAAGAAATGCATCCTTCACCCTTAAAAGTGAAGAGAAGTTTAATCCACAGTGGTACCAAGGGCAGCCTGTAAGTATTAATACACTGCTGAGAATGTACATAGGCCTGTTATGTTACTTAATATCGCTTGGATGCATAGCGATGTTGAAAGAGTACAGAGGGTACTTTAAGTCAGCCAAGAAGCATTACTCAGCACTATTAGGAATTGCTATACTAGAGCAGCAAAATGACAAATGAAACAAAGTGCAACAGATTTTATTGAACTTAAATGGAATTTTCTTTAAGGAGAAAACTTGCTTTAAGTAACTAATATACCAGATTTTGTTCTGGTTTTAATATGAAGTGGGCTTGCAGGTAACTTCCCTGAGGAAATCGACAAATGATTAGTTTTAGTAATCAGCAGTAGTAAAGGTTTACACTTTGCCCAAGTTACTACTGAGTCTAAAGATGCAGTTTTAAAAGAAAATGTCTCAGTTTAATCATACAGATATGACAAATCTGCTGAGATGCCATCAAAATGAAGTGGCATGGGAGGTTTGAGTGAGTGCTATCCTGAAGAATAGCAAGAAGCAACTATTGTAACTGTTAGTAATGTAAGACAGCCAATTTTTCTTTTGAGGGAAGAACACACAGGTGTAGACTTTGCAAGCCACTGAGAAGTGGTGCACAAGTGAGGCAGGAAAACATGCAGAAGGCAGACAGAAATCTGCAACTCATGAGATCAGCAGTAAAATCAGAAAAGCTGACCAAAGTCCTGCTTTTATGTTTCAGAGTATGTGGGGCATACGCCCTTAGAACATTCCTACCCCTTCTTACTTCACTGTTCTTGAGACTTTTCCCCTACCTGGGTTTCAGCTGTAGTTCTACCATTGCATTACTGCTCAATTTGTGGCGGCAGACAGAAATCTGCAACTCATGAGATCAGCAGTAAAATCAGAAAAGCTGACCAAAGTCCTGCTTTTATGTTTCAGAGTATGTGGGGCATACGCCCTTAGAACATTCCTACCCCTTCTTACTTCACTGTTCTTGAGACTTTTCCCCTACCTGGGTTTCAGCTGTAGTTCTACCATTGCATTACTGCTCAATTTGTGGC